GCATGCTCCCTTAAGATCTAAAATGAAGTTTTGAACTAAGCTCTCTGCCATCTTATATCCAAAACCCTAAACCCTAAATCCTAAACCCTAAACCCTAAATCCTATAAATCCTAAACCCTAAATCCTATAAATCCCATATGCAGGGTCCTCAAGCTCGGCTCTGACAGCATTCCGCTCAGCCATTAATCGAGCAGCCACCTGGCTAGGGTTTAGGGTTTAGGGTTGAGGGTTTAGGGTTTAGGGTTTAGGGTTTAGGGTTTCGGGTTTCAGGTTTAGAGTTTAGGGTTTAGGGTTCGCAGTCCAAAGATTTTGGATTCCGAGGTCCCTTTAAAGGTGATATAGGGGTTTTATAGGTTTATATAAGGATATGTAGGGATATCTAAAGTTATATAGGATTATGCAGGGTCAAAAGGCTTCAGGTTTCAGGGTTTTCTAAACTTAGCGGTACCATTTTCGGGAGCCTTTATAACAAGGACTATATTTTTGTGGTCTATATTGGGGTGCACGGATGTTGGATTCAGATTTGAGGCATAGTCTAAATTCGTAGCATTCCCCTACAATATTCCCCTAGAATACTCCCGTATATCCCCTTTTCAGCAGTGTAAACCACAGCCCAGATTTGATTCACACCCCCATGGACTTTTTTGCGTAAGGGACTGGCGCATGGGGTAGCTCAGGACAGTCATGTATTTGATGTATTTTGGAGGTTTCCCAAAATTAGGGGTACTTTTTTCGGGGATCCCCATAACAAGGGTTATAATATTTCGGGGTCTATATTGAAGGTCCACCTGTTTTAGCGAAAGTCCCATTCAGGCTTTAGGGTCTGAGGTTCAAAGTTTGGGGCCGTAAACACTAAACCCTAAACTGCGTCTCAAGCAGGGGGTTGGTCCTTGGGAGCTTGGGCTAGGGAGCATTTTGAGTAACTTCTTTCCATAATATGATGGGTCATCAAGGAATAATCTACAAATCATACAAGCAGCTCTTCCAGAGGTCTCCTGCCATTTCTGTGGCACTCAGGATGCTAGCGCAGCAGGAATGGAATCTCAAAAAAGTAACTTGCCGCTTAAATGAGCTCCTTAAACAACCCGTCAGAAGATTCAGTTCTTCAAAGGGGGTCCTTAATAAAGAGGCTTATGGCCTCCTCGCACTGGTGCAGGGAGTCGACCGCTTGGCGGCGAGCACGTCGCTCAGCCTCCAGTGCCGCCTCCAAGCACTTGACACCAAGAGACGCAATCACGACACCACTGCTGGGTAGGCTTAACTTGTAAACTAAGCATAAAACACACAGAGAAGCGTAAGAAGAAGGACTAACTGGCCTTAGACATGCTGGCATTAGTACGCCCGACTCAAGAAAAGGTAAAGCTTGCACGAGACAGCCTAACACCGATGAATGATGTTGGGTATATATTGGGATAATGGAAAACAAAATGGAAACTACTGTGGTCTATTGAGGTTATATTGGGAGAATGCAAAATCAATGGAAGCTACTATTTGCGCATCAGAATTATCACCCCAGAAGCCAGAACTTGCAAAAAAGAACACGCCTTCAATGTCCATTCCTAAGTTGAAACCATTAGAGTTTAGGGTTTTAGGGTTTAGGGTTTAGGGCTTTTAGGGTTTAGGGTTTAGGGTTTTAGGGTTTAGGGTTTAGGTTTTGTCAGTTGGTCCAATGTTGCAATGTTCTTATTGTCAGGGATTGGTTCTTAATATTGTTTATGATTTTCTTGGTTTTTCAATGGGTTTGAGCGCTTAAGCATGAAGCATTGTAAAAACCAAAAACACCATTAATTTCGCAGTTGTCGATTGAAAATGATTGATTTGCAGTTGGGAAGGCTTCAAGGGTTTTGGGGTCTTGGGTTCTGAAGTTGGTGAACGCGGTTATGTAAAGTTGCTGCCAAACCCTGCAAAAAACAAAATCCCACAGTGTCCTCCTCCCCAGAGGTTTACCCTGTTTGACGCTCAACAACACTTGTCCAGTGATCCATATATCCATGCAGGATCCAGGGCTATTTTGTCAGACTCTTTTCCGTCTTGCGGATCCAGGGTTTAGGTCTTAAGAACTAGGTTGTAGAGTCAAAAGTTTCACCGTCGACCTTTAACAGCAGAGGGCTTGCAACACTTGACAAGCCTTAAGAACCTGGCTAAAATCTTCGAACCCCACCCAGGAACCTCTAAACCGTCGAAATCCACCCCCCCTCAAACAAAACGCCAAAACCAAAAACCTCAAACCCCAAACCCCTCATGCTCGTGATTGATAACCTACTGTGGCCCAAAACCCTTCTCTAACCTTTTACTATAGTCCACTAATTAGGGCCGACAAAATTATCGAGGCCCGTACATCCTAAGATATCCTAAGCCCTAAATAATCCCTAAACCCTAGTCCCTAAACCCTAAAACCTAATCCC